GAATAACATCTGAATGGAAACCTCCATCTCCAACAGGATTATTTGGCTTTTTTTTTTTAACCTCAGCTATGTAGCAATGGCAGGTTCAACTGGTTTACCTATTCTTTTCCAGATTTTCTTCAAAAGAATATAGTTTGGTAGTGGTTTTCTTGCTATTTATTCTTTCTTAATGTTCTGATGAAGATTCTCAGTCATCCAGGTCATAGTCATTCTGTAAAAGTAAAAAAAAAAAAAAANGAGCTTACAGACACATTGCACACATTCAAGGTGTCCATGTTGCAGAAATATTGCTCGCTTATACATGAACAGCATTAAGAGCTGTTTCTTAGACTTTTTCATGACTAAAGCCTTTTTCCTAGAGTATGAGTGACAGTTTTGAATAACATCTGAATGGAAACCTCCATCTCCAACAGGATAATTTTTTATTTATTTATTTATTTTTAACCTCTGCTATGTATTAATGGCAGGTTAAACTGGTTTACCTATTCTTTTACTGATTTTCTGACAAAGAATATAGTTTGGTAGCGGTTTTATTGCCATTGATTCTTTCTTAATGTTCTGATGAAGGTTCTCAGTCATCCAGGTCATAGTCATTCCATAAAAGTAAAAAAAAAAACAATCCACTGGACTTGGTTTCCAGTATGACCCACTCGTCGGTTTCAATCTGCATGTTTCCAAGCAATACAAGGCCTTGTCTATATAAACACTCAAACTCACTGCCAGACATTTGAATTGAGAAAACTTCCTGGACGGGAAGCGAAACATCTTCAAATCTTGGAAACCAAGTCCAGTGGATTTATTTATTTATTTTTTACTTTTACGGAATCACTTTCTTAATGTTCTTTTATAATTGTTATTTCCTATTTGCACTACAGTAATTACTAAATTTACATAGACTTGCATTGCCTGGAAGGAAAGGTCTTACTTGGACGTTCTTTTTGCCTGTAACTGATTCGTTTTGAATCCCTGCAGCCATAAGACCTGCCCCCTTGCTTATTTTGTTTGTGTCTAAAGCTTTTTAAGCAGTAAGCTACATGCATGGATGTCTTCAATGACAGCAAAAGTGTAATTCAGTGGTTTGTCACTTAGGTTTGATATCTTCTCACCTTATATTAACATTATTACAGTAAATATTACCCCACACTGAATAATTTGTTGTCATACATTTAAAGAGTTTCATGAAAATCTCAATTTTTTTGTTTTCAATTAATAATTTTCTTTGTTTATATCTATATTTATATCTTATTATCTCCTCTCATAGAATAGTAAGTGGAGATGCAATGGGAAACCACTTATCATCAACAGGAGTGGATGATGCAAAGTTTCTGATATGTTGCTGCAATGTTCTGTCAACTGATTGTTTTTTTAAATAAAAGTCAAAATTAGAACATAAGAAGCAAAGGTTTGTGTTGGTTTTTAACCCACTAGTAGGTATTTTAATGGGATAATGCACCAAAACGTGACCAACACACAAATGATACCAGCCTTCTTCCATAGACGTCAAACCTAAATCCTTCTGAAGACTGTGTATTAAGGTAAAGAGAAAGGAGCAGTAGAGAGAATCAAAACCAGAACTTAAGATATTTTACAAAGATCCATTTTTTATATACTCCAAAGGATAAAACTACTGTGGGGTACTTCCTCCAAACAGGTTCTTTTGGAAGTTCCAGACTGCTTTGGAACCAACAAGTCTTCATTTTTTTTAAAAACAAACACCTCTTTGGTGGGCTTTCCCCACCTATTATCAAATATTTTCTAGAAAAAAAAAATAAAAACAATAAGCCACTGCAATAAAACATTCCAAGAAGAGATGCATTGATCCAGTACCTGTATCTTATATTGGCTCAGATATTGACTGATGGCTGGAGCGGACATCAGGGATTTAATATGGGATATTTCAGATCCAATGTAGTGCACTTCACATGGAACTGTTGTTTTTGTTGTCTTTTTGCAACTGTTAATAAATAATTTAAATGAAATTATTTCAGGGTTTCTTTGTTACCTTTGTTAACAATATTTATGTCAAGGCTAAAGCCTTCAGTCATGTCACAAGATATATGGTTCATTCATTCAACAGTTAAATTGATATTGGTATTGGATAATGGCCAGTACACTCAGCCCAGCTATCGGTGTTGGACTGGATTGGATCAGTGCATCTCTGATTCCAAGCATTTACTGCTATTTTTTCTTTAACCAGTTTATAACTATAGTATGCATGAGCTCAACTACCCTTTATCTTGTCTTTTTTCACTAAACGAGAGAGGTAACAGCAAAACATGAAAGTAATCCTCTTTTTAATTGCAGGCATTTTAAAAGTAAACTTTACACATTTTCCACAATAATGGTATTTTACCTTTCAAATACTTATGAATTACAATAGATAGTTTAAGGTTTTGATAGATATACAACTGTCTTCTTATCACAGTCAAAGCAGAATGAATGAATAATGCACAAATAAAAAAGAAAGCAAAATATATAATCCTAATGAAACAGAAATGAGGACAGGTACAGTTATTTCACCACTACATCCCTTTGATTTTATCATTTCAACATTTTCATAAAAGGCTGCTATTAATTTGTTTGCCCCTCACTTAAACAAAGAAATAAAATTTACCACTTTGCTTCCCTAATTATGCATCCCTTTTGCAAAATGTAATGGAGGTTTGTCAAACTAAATGAGGTGTTATTATTAAAATTGGGTACAGGAGGAAAAAAATAATCAGTTTTTGATAATGATAAAACAAAACATAAACAGATCTGCACAGAAAAATTTTAAGAAAAATATGTCCAACACATTTCGTATACAGTAAGCATTACCTTGCCATTTGGGATAAACCAGTTAATGGTTACAGTTGGAATTGGTTGCATGCATGTAAATGAGGACCGATAGCCTAATGACTGATCGTTAAGGCTTGTGGTTCCCAAAAGGCGGAGTCAGCTAAGCAATAACAGCATTGTAAGAGGGGAACTGTTTGACTTGAAGGCATCCACTCCTGTTGATGATGAGTGTTTTCTCATTGCAAAAAATGCATCTTTTCCTACTCTCTCAAACCAGCATTCCCCCTAATTCACCTTGAAAGAGAAACAGCTAGCCTGTTTAGTGTGTTAAGGCCTGAACACACCAGACATGATCTTTGAAGTGATCCAGTCTGTTTTTTTATTATGTTTAAAGCCACTGGGATATCATATTTAGAAAATAAACAACCCAAGTTTTTTAGGAAATTCCTGCTACATATAGAATATCCACTGATCTAGGTGTTGGTTTGAGTTCTACTGTTTCCTAAAGAATGTTGTTTTAAATGTCATGAAAGTAGTCAATGTCACAGAGCTATGCCTGCTCTCAGTCAAAATACAAAGCAGATGCCCCACTTGACAACCAAATTGTAGCTTAGGTCAGACCAAAACAGACCCAGTGTCTATCCCAGTTGGAGCTACACAAGCAAAGTCGCAGAGAATTGTGTTCAGTCTGACCAGAACCTTGCATTTTAAATGAACTAATGAGTACCATGATCTCCTACGATCGGATTTTCCATCAGATCGGACCCTAAATCTTATCTGCTGTGTTCAAGCTTTTGCACTCATCTATTGACCAGCTGTCACTCTTCCTAGGGTGAAAATATTCTAAACCGGATTAGGGAGGAATTCAGGTTTGAGAAAGGATTGAAGGAAGTCATTTTTGTCACAATAAAAGATCCTTTAATAACATGTCTGTTTAAATTCTTAGTTATCTAAATCATGGCAGCTACAAAGAAGATTTACACTGGAGAAAACCATATTCAAATCGCTCAGTTTTTCCAAAGGCAGTCTATAATTGGAGCTTTGATTTTTTAAGAAACATGGACATCCATCCTCCTAAGCACCTTTCATGTCACAGCAAATCGATGACCCACCACTCATTTTCCTGGGTTGTTGAAATCTTTGTTGTGTACAGCTTATGAATTCACTCATTTGATTCATGAATGTGTATATGTAATTTCTTTAGAATGAGTTTCAGAACTCATTCCAAAAACTAAGCCTGTTTTGTGGTATCCATCATTAAACGAGTGGAGACCTTTAGGTCCAACTGTCCCCACTCTTACCTTTGAATTACACATCCTCCCTGTTTGCACCACTCCACTTGCATCCTTCTCACAGAGCAGCTACAGCTACATTGTAATAATCAATGACAACAGCTCAACACGTTAATGTCCACGGGCGTGCTAGCCTTCCACTGTATGAATACAAAGTTCAGCCCCGGCCTACTTGGCTCCAGCAAGATCTCCGTCGCATGCTCTCTTCGGACTTCGGAGGTAGAAGCTTTGTTTTCACGGATGTGCAGAGGTGGTCTGCAGCTGGTCTGACCTGGACAGGAACTGAATGTGGAGTTACAATGCTGGTATTGAGAGAATGACTCATCTCTCAGGGAACAACAAGTGGTCAGTAGAGCCCCAACAATTGGTCATTTGGCTGTTATTTTCATGAGAGCAACCCTTATAAAGAACCTTTCCAGAAGAATTACTCAAATTTTGGAGATTTAAGACAAATGCACAATATGCACAACCATGTCAATTGATTAACTCTTCATCAATAGTGGTGGTATAAACAGATAATGCAAACCAACTGTCCATGGATAACACCATTTATTATCTATTGTAACAGATACAAGTCCATAAATATTTTTTGTAGGAGGGCATATTTGCATTCGAAACACGCCTTAAAATACCCTATTTACTTTGCAATTTACTGTTAATGCAAGATATATACATACACTGTATAAAACATCACAGAGAATTTCTTTTCTCATTGTCAAATATGAAATCAGACTAAATCTTATCTACTTTGTTAGACAGGATTACCCAAACAGATTTTATTTTCTAAATGCCATGATGATGAGAGGGTGTTTTTATATCTTTTATATCTTTTACAAAGTCAGAAACTTAAACACACTAATTGTATCATTTTGAAAAATTGAGAGAGTCTAGATATTGCATTATAATAAGAAATCAAATAATCAGAAAATTTATTTTTTGCCTCTGACAGGTTAAGACACTGCGTTGATTGGGGACATACTGTGGATGTTCTTTTAGGGCAACACCTCAAATACACTGGTTCTGTGTGACAACATCATAGGAAAATTAAAGCTTGCAAAGATGACAATGCCACTTCCATTATAAGGGTGTATTGCTACAGGAGAGAATGGTGTACTTCAAAAAATAGATTGCAAATTGGGTTGTATAGAATAGTTTATGGAGATATTAAGGAAACACCTCAAAACAGCAGCTAAGAAGTAAAAGCTTAGATGCCATTTGATTTTCTAAATGAACAATGACCACAAATAAAATAAATTAGTGAAACCACAAATTAGTTTAAGCACAGCAAAGTAAATGGTCTAAAAATAGACATAATAAAGGCCTTATCTCAGACCCTCAGAAAATCTTAGTCAGAACCTCTAGATCTTGTACGCGTAAGGCTGCCTAAAATTATGACTAATTCTGTCAGGAAGAATATGTGATTAAACTATTGTAAACATTTGGGAAAAGGCTGTAGGATACCAAAAATAATCTGAGTTTAAAAGTAATGCCAACAAATATTGGTGAAGCAGAATAAATGAACCATGCTCTCCATGACTGAATACACCTGTTGCACCCAAATAACTGCAGGCAGGAGTGGTACTGGTGTAAAAGGATGGGGGCCCTTTCAAGTGCATCTCAACATGCCTCCTAACATGTTCATAATTCTAGATCGAAATGTTGTTTTGGTCTGCAGTGTACACAGAGCAAATTATTCCTAGGTCTTGCTTCTCCTGTACTAAATCTATAAGCACTTGTTTTAACTTAGAATTTAGATCATGATTAGAGAAGCTCTCTGCTATTTGTTGGCATGAGGTAGGAGTCTTTCCTCCCCCAGGCAGTTAGAGCACCTTAGAAGGAGTATGTATTTTGCCAATTGCATGACATAGCTCAAGCATTGAAATTGTATGTACACCAGAAATGGCATGAAATTGTGCCTCTTGTTGCCGAAAGGCCCATTAAGAAAACATTGGTAGTCCCAATGACTTAAACAATAAAAACTAACTGATTTAATGATAGAGTGAAAATATAATAAAAGGTTATTTTTTCTTTTTTATACTGTGTATGTAAACATCCTGTTTCAACAGTGTATATTAGCAGTCAATGCAGTTATCCTTGCTGGTTTTGTAATTTTGTTTAATTAGCTCATAGCCTTTTGACTGTACAATCAAAACAACAGCAACAAAAAACAGCAACATTATTACTTCAAAATATCTCAAAGGGGAAAAAAAGGGAAATAGTTTATCGTGCAACTAGAAAAAAATTGTGTTGAACACAAAAATGTTTTTTTTATATATTACAGAATATGTAATCTATCAGGTGTGTGTGTGTGTTTCAGCGTGAGCGGCAGACATAAAAGAAGCAGTCTTGTGTCCTTCTGATCAGAAGAAACTTTACACAATCTTATCGGTCTTGACCCTTTACAGTCTTTTTTCTGTACTACAGAAATGCTTTTAATGTTCAGGATCTGCAGTAAATGCATTTGTACATCTCACAGAAAAAGACAAAATGTGACTCAGAAAAAGCAGAAGAGACCTCAGTGATAAATGTAGCTACAAATGTAAGGCAATCCGCTACTGCTTTTGTCTTTCAGCTGATGTCGAATGTTGAAGCAAATACCTCTGACATGGTGTAAACACCCAGTGAGTATGATCTTTAGGCTGTGTATGTACTGTATGTGTGTTTAGAGAGAAGGTGTGTGCATATCTGCTGAATCTTCGTTGTTTTCAGGTATCCAAGGTGTGCCTTGGAGCTCTGTGGGAGTTCTCCTCTCCCCTTCCTTTTCCCCTCTTCACCCCACCTAAAGCTGCATACTTTCTTTTAGTCTTTCTGCGTTTCTTATCAGAGCACCACACTCTCTCGCAGTATTCCTCCACCTTCTGAGCGTCACCATAACCAATTAGCTGGAGGAACTCCTTGTACCAGAGCCTGGAATTGGGGGCTGGGACTGATGGTAGCTGAAGAGATTGGGAGCTGACGCTGGGGGCAGCTGGGGGGATAATGATGGAGTGGCATTGAGCTGCAGCTCCATCTCCTCCTTCATTCTTTGCCTTGCGCATAGCCAAGTCCAGCCTCTCTGCTCGAAGCACATGCAGGTTGATCCGTAATAATGTGTGCACGTACCCATGTTCCACAGTCTGACACACGTACACACCAGCATCAGAGCTTTTCACGTGTAAGAACAGGAGCCCGTGAGGTGTCATGATGACCCTTTCATCACCTCGAACCTGTACATAGGGAAAAAAGAAAAACATTAAGGGGATCTAGGAATGAATGGCTCTGTTGCTGCAGTAGCTCATGTCCCTTGAAGCGTTAAATATATTCTACATCAAGAGTCAAGCTGCTGATTCACTTTCTCACATCAAGTCCCGCTTTATGTCTGATGATGTTGTTTATCCTGGTATTAATCAGAGAAAAGAAAGTAAAAATATTTTTTAAAGTAAAACTTTTAAAAATCAATGCCAACAGATAGTCATGAATCTTTAGGATGGAATTAGGTAATTCAGCTCCAGTAACATTATACAGTATACTGCATATTGTATGTTCACTTGACCTCCAATGACATAGCACAGTCAGCAGAGAAAACAACACTAAATAAATAAAGGAGCTTAAGTACAAAAATAAGTCTAAATTTAAACAAACTGAAGGTGTTCTTATCTCTTGTGCATTCCAATGTAAACATGGTATTTCTTCATTGTGTGAGGTTAATTATAAAAAATATCCGAACATCTCCAGGGTTCAGACAAGATTCAGTCGTGTTTCACTTTAATACTAACTGTCAGGATCCTGTAAAAGGAGTTTATAGTGACTCTGCATCCAGAAGATTATCGTTGTTGTAGCCAAGATCTTCCACTTACAGTTTGGAAAAAATCCAAATGCGCATATCATAAATTTACCCGTTCATTCTTGGAGGACTCCAGGCATTTTATTTTCCTGCATACATCAAACTTAATCATCCAAGTAAACGTCTAAGGTTTTTTTTTTTTTTTATGCACTTCTCTGACTTCCTATCGCAAAAGACTATCATAGTTTTAACATACTTTTCAATCTTTTTCTTTTGCTGGTTTAGAATTTTTAACAACATAAAAATTCTATATCTTTTGTCAGAATTTTCTTGAAATCAATCTAGGTTTTTCTTCTAATTATAATGGCCCAATTTCAACCTGGAGAGATTCACACAGAGTAAAGGTGTAATTGGAAAAATGTTTTTGCAGTTTTTTTTATACACATAACACACAGAGATTGGTAAAAAAAAAAAAAATAAATCTATCAAAGGAAAATCAGCTGATTGCATTAAATTAAGGACTCTTTTCAATCTCTCACACTGAGCATGCTTGTAGCAACAGTGGAGAAGAAAACTCACTTTTAACAGGAAGAAACCGCTAACAGAACCAGGCTCAGTGTGAGCAACCATCTGCCGAGGCCGAATGGAGTTCAAGGAAACAGAAGCAAACATGCATATATTTATGTAAATTAAATACATTATTTGGCGCTTGGGCCCCAGCAGAAAACTTTGCTGCTGTGAATCAAAACGCAATTCAATGATTAACCTAGGAAAAGGATTAGAGTAGTCCTCCCCCTGGGGCCTTCCACTGGTGGTGGAATAAGACAGAGGGTAAGTGGGACTGAGAGTGAGGGGGGAGATTGAGTGGAGGTGGGGAAAAGTTTGCTTGTTTGTGGGAGAAATAAGAAGGGGATATTTATAGATAATTGGCTTTGCAGGAGATGTGGCCCCAAGATGATTGGCTGAAGCTGGATGAGAGACATCATAAGTGGTTCAGGTGAAGCTGATAAGATTCTTCCAGATTGAATTTTTGCATTAATATATCAAGTTTATATTAAGTTTTTTCCATACTTTATATTTTACAAAAGCAAAATCTTTGAATGTTTTGAACGTTTATGTTAATGTTGATATGATACACTTAAAAAAAGAAAAATAGACAAAATGGTTTGCAGTATTTAATCTCTCATTAAAGTATTGACATCCTCCATTTACAGATGCCTACAATTACATTGTAAAGCTTAAGTTGTACCGAAATATTACCCCAAAGTTAATGTATTTTAGAAATTAGTATCAGAAAATTAAATTATAAAGATTTGAGGTAAGTTACTCCCCAGAGCTACCCGTCTATTTATTTTTTTCCTTTAAAAATTGTATTTTATGGCCCAGGAATAGGCTATAAAAACACTACCGACTTTATTGCTTTTCAGCAGTCGGTCATTAACAATCTCCACAAGAATTGTTTGCTGAAAACCTTAGGTAATCACAAAGTGCTTCATCTAAATATATATATATATATATATATGCTTTTTTTTTTTTTTTGAAGGTTTTAAGAAAAAGTTAGAACCAGCATGATCTGCTGCTCCTTTCAGAGGACTGTACAGTAAAACCCCAAAGTAAGGGGGAGATTCACATGGTGTGGGTGGAGCTATCAATGTTTTGGAAAAAAAAAAAACACATATAGTGTATATTGGAAATGGGCTAAAAATGTTGGTATCTATGTATTTACCTTTTTTTTTTAAACCTGAAGCAACATCAGAAAGAATAATAAACATTTGTAATACAACAAACATTTGCAGTGATTTGCTGCTGGGGTCTAATAAAAAAGACTACACTGTTTTTTTTGTGAACAAACATAATCTTTTCAACTGAAAGTAAAATCTGCATGCTATTTTGCAATATAGATGCTCAGAATTTAATCTACTAAACTGCAGTTTTAAGTTTCTCGAGTAACCAGTTTCCACCATGCTTCATTGTCTTTTATCAGGTCCAGTGTCAACTCTTTCCTTTTTAATGCATCCCCCTGACTACCCTCACAGTGTTCTCATTTAATCATCTGGCAGGTTCCCATCCTGCCCAAGCTATTTTTTTTGTTTTATTTTTTGAAGAACTGTGCTTGAACTGCAAAGCTGACTTACACTCCACAGATTTCCTGATGAGAGACCCCCAACCCAACAACACAAATGGTTGCTATTAAAACAACCGTAGCTTCTCTAAAACTTCTGAAAAAAAGTCAAGCTTAGCATCCCCATGCCATGTTGTACTAATACAGCTATTTATGGCAAAGGAATCGTTTTGATTTTTCTACTCTTTCTGAAAAATAGAGTTCTTGGTTTATCCTAGCCATGAAATATAATCTTTAAAGTTACTAGAGCACTTACCTTCCTTCTATAGTAAATCAGTATATAATTATGTATATCAGGAATCTGTGTGTGATTTACTTTTTAATTCATCAGCGGGAATGATTACTATAGAGTCAACAACACAATGCAGGCAAATGTCTACTGTCTCCACTTTCTTATCCAGGAGGACCAAATCCTGCAAAGTTAATGACTCAATGCAATCAGCTGGTTATCCTTACATAGAAAACTTCTAATCTGACTGTATTCACCAAATGAATTGTCTCTGTAAAGTGCCTCAAGATGTGTTATAAATTGGTGCTATATAAATAACTGAAAAGAATTTAATTGATTTAAATACTGAATTTGGTTTACTTTTTAATTCTGAATTATACATATGTACTTGTATGTATTATTAAATAAAAGACAGGTCAATAATTCCAGCAGAACAACTTACATATGAAAAATGATGGAAAAAATAACTGGAATTTTTACTTACCTCATGTTTTTCCCCTTTTGTTTCTACAAACCAGAGAACCTTGGCTTGAAGTGATCGAGGGACACATTCCAGTAAAGTGGTGTTGCTCTCAATGCTATATATTAGCCTCTCCTCAGCCCTCTGCCATTGTTCATCTACAAACACACACACACAATAAAAAAACTGAGGTGTAGGACTGATGGCAATGGACTGGAGCGGCCTTTCATTATGTGGCTAATGTAAAGCTGATTGTTTTTTTCTCCTGCGGATGAAATGCACTGACCTTATTGTAACCTCCAACCAAAATGGCTCATGAAGGGATTTTCTATGATTTACCACTCAATGTTTTTGATATCTATACACACATAAACACATTTCACAGTCATTTTAAGCACCAACCATCAATTTGCAGTCCATTGCACAGCTGTACGGCGTTGCCATGACGAACATCCTGTCGTCTGAATCGTCTGCTGGAAAAGAAATCCAAAGATGGAGTCATTTTTATGAAATAGCAATAGATGAAAGCAGGAGCCGAAAGGAGGGAAAGATAAAAGGAAGAAACAGGAGATCAACTGCACACTGATAGGTCTTACATAACACATCACTTTGATTTCTGTGAGTAATAATGATTTAATAAACCAAGCAGGCTTGTGATCTTTAGGGCAAGTAGATTAATTAATAATGGCATGAGCAGTTTACATTAACTGTGTGTGTATGTTCTTACCTTTTGGCGTAAACTCCAGCAGGGTAGTATCTGGAGCAGGTGAGACCATCCCAGGCACAGTATGGGTCTCTGGCTAGACAACAGTCAGCACATGCTGAACCATAAAGATCACACTGATGTAGTCTGACCTGTGCGATGCCCACTTCTGACCCAACATACAGCTGTTGCTGTGGAACCAAACATATTGATTAGTTTCTCTGGAATCAGATCTCATCATTTTATTTTTTTCTTATCCTCATCTAACTAAGACACTGAACCAAAAATAGAGGTAGAGGCTTAAATAGGTTGGCATGCATTTCAAGTGTGTTGCTGCATTGTGGCATAAATTGTACTGCTGTTGTCCTCTTGTGGAAGAACTTTGAAACTGCATATGGTAAAGCTAGTCTTACCCTTTTGGGTGATATTATGATCTCTTTGATTGGAGCAGGCACCTGGAAAGAAAATGTTTAGAGCGGGTCAAAAATAAAAATTATAAAAAAAATAGGCTATTTTTTGTAGTATAAATATTCAGTGATTATATTTTTAAAATCTCATTTGAGTTAAACTTTTTTTTTTTGCCATGCTTGCATTCTTCCTAAATTACGAATGAATGAGATAGTATTTACCACCATTTGCAAATTAGGTTTGTTTTGTATCAGATGTGAATACTAATAGTTCTTAAATTCCAAATCATGAAAAAAAGCCAAATTATATTACAATCACTACCTCAAAACAAGATAAGTTGGAGCCAGCTAGA